TACCCTAGCAGAAGATCCTCTAGTATCAAGGTTTTTTTTTTTTTTTTAAACCTTGAAAAGACATAGGCCTATCTCCACTAAAATCTGTCCCCAATTGTGTCACAAGGCTTGTCAGGTGCACCTTTTGAACCCTTAAGTGAAACTTCTCTTGGACTCCTCACCTTAAAGACAGTTCTTTTGGTAGCAGTAACCTCGGTACGAAGAGTCAGTGAGTTACAGGCTTTGTACAACAACCCTTTCTCTCGATTTTTGGAGATAGAGTAGTTCTTAAGACCGATCCAGGTTTTTTTCCAAAAATCATTTCCGATTTCCATAGATCATAGGATATAAATCTGCCAACCTTTTCAAGTAATCCATCCAATGAAAAAGGAGTCTTTCCATTGTCTGGGTGAGAGAAGATGCTTGTTGAGTTATCTGCAAACAGAATCTTTTAGAAAATCCAACAGTTTGTTCATACTGTTTTCAGGGAAGAATAAAGGGAAGCAAGCCTCTAAATCATCTATAGAAAGATGGATAAAACAAGCTATAGCAGAAGCATACCAGGCAAAAGAAATTTCTCCACCAGTTTGTCCACCAGTTTGTCTCAATGCTCTGTCCACCAGTTTGTCTCAATGCTCTGTCCACCAGTTTGTCTCAATGCTCTGTCCACCAGTTTGTCTCAATGCTCTGTCCACTAGATCGTTCTCTATCACCTGGAAAGAAAAAGCAGGGGCTACTCCGGAGCAGATATGTAAATCTGCTACCTGCACTAGTTATTCAACCTTTATTCGACATTATTGCCTGGACCTGTTATCAACTCAGGACCAGGCCTTTTGGGAGAAAGGTGCTGCAAGCAGTAGTCCCTCCCTAAAAGTTGGTAAGTGCTTGGTTATCCTCTCATGGGCTGTCCTGGAAGACAACTGGGGAAAACCGGAGTTAGAACTTACTGGTAACTCTATTGCCAGTAGTCTTCCAGGACAGCAGAGTTCTGCTCTGTTCTAGAATGCTAATATAAATTATGTACTGTTGTGGTGGAATTATGTTCTGCTCTCTCCTAGAATTGTTCTCGTGTTCTCAAAATAACTGAAGGGGGATAGTGACGGTGGTCTTTTAAATTGGTGTGGTGACATGTTTCCTGTTTGGAGGTGGAGTTGAACTCTCATGGGCTGTCCTGGAAGACTGCTGGAAATAGTTACAGTTGGAGCATCTTTTTAGTCACAAATTTGCACAAACATTCATTTTGTGTGCTTTTCAGGTCTATTGAAGTCTGTTGGGTCAAAAATGCATGATTCTGGCCCTCTCCAGAAAAATTGTGTACTTTGTGTACTTTTTTTTTTCAAGCCGTGAGTGACGCAACTCTCAGGAGTGAACAGGCACCATTAAAAATATTGTGATTCTTCATGTTCAGCGTTGTTGCCTTTTGTGATGTGTGCCAAAACGTTGGGTATAAATAAAGGCATGGAGAGTATGCTGGTAGAACCTATCTATTTTAAACCTCACGTAACTGTTGTCTGGTATTCTCTTTGATGTTGTTTGTGAATGCCTAGGAGTCTGGCAAGGGACTGTAAAAGATCATCAAATTTGAAATCAATCATTCTACTGTGAGGTAAAATTAGTCTTCAACTGGCCTAAATTTCAAATGGCTACTAATTTATCTTAGACTATCCAGCCTGCAAATTCAGAGAGCTGACGATTCTAAAAAGAAGTCTCCAAGAACCCAAAAGATCAGCAGGTAACTTGCTTAGTGATCATCTGCAATCGGAAAGATTTCACCAATTTAACCTTCAAGAGAGGTATGCCAGGAGAACGCCTTTGCTGTTCTAAGACCGCATTCACACAGCATAGAGTGGGGCCGTACAGATCCGTGCGGCGTGCACAGCCATATTGGGCCGTTTCCCGGAAGGACAGGTGCTGCTGGTGATTGTATGACATATTAATGCCCACTCCCTTATTTTATCCAGGTCCTCCTGTAATGTTATAATGTCTAAGTCCGTGTCTATTACCCTCCCTATTTTGGTGTCATCCGCAAACACGGAAATATCGCTGTTAACACCCTCCCCCATGTCATTAATTAATAAGTTTACCGCGCGCCAATGCTTGGCAATGGGGCAAAGGGTCCTGCTGTCGCGGGTCGTGTCGCTACAGCAGGACCCTTTTTGGAGCGGATTTTGCCGCGATTCAAGCTTGCTCAATGCAAGCATTCGTGCGACAAAAGCGCGATGTGCGAACCGCTCAATGTGAACGGGGCCTCAGTCTTCATGTTTCTGAACAGTTCGTTCCAACTCTCTCAGCTCATCTTCCCTGAACTTCCTGTCCAGTACAAGATCACAAGCAAGATCAGTCTCCAGCAGCTGTCCAACTAGCTTGGAGAAGGGAGGAGCAAGGGAGTGGCTTGCTTTGTTTTTGCTGTGTTTGTGGAGATGCACAGCTTTCTAGCACACAGGTGTGGCTCCCTAGCACCCTGCAAGGGAAAGCCACCCTGAAACAGAAAATCGGGGTCAGTGCTCAGGGGACCAGATGATTCTGCAGAAAACAAACATTTAAACCTTATGAAGCAGTATCCCTTGTAAATGTTTTAATCCACATTTGAAATGGCTTGCAAACTTTTTGACTTTAATATCACTTTAAAGTTTAATATAATTTTTAAAACGCAAAAGTTAGCCCCCAACCTACACAGATTTGTCACATGGAATGTATCTTCGCGCGTGCCAGAGTGAGAGCAATAATTATAGGGCAGTTGTTTACTTAACTCTAAATTGATGACCTACAAAGACTTTTAAAAGTCACCCATGGGCAGTTGTGGGTATCATAGGTTTTCACCTTTTTCAAAGGTGCAAGTGATTTTGAGGCTTGCCATGTTTGGTATTTATTTGCTTGATGCAACCTCATCTTTTATAAACTGCCTGGCCAAAAAAAGTACACACTCTAATGCTTAGTTGGAGCTTTTAGCTTTAGTTTTGATTATGGCATGTATTCACTGTTGCATTGTTTCAATAAGCTTGTGCAATGTCAAAACACTTATTTCCATCCAGAGCTGCATTCATTTTTGTACCAAGATCTTGTAGTGATGGTGGGAGAGTTGGGCCACTGCGTAATCTCTTCTCCACCACTTCCCAAACATTCTCAATGGGGTTAAGGTCTGGTCTGCATGGCGGCCAATCTATATGAGAACATTATGTCTCGTGCTCCCTGAACCAATCTTTAACAAATTGAGCCTGATGAATATTGGCATTGTAATCTTGGAATATGTCTGTGCCATCAGGGAAGAAAAAAATCCATTGATAAAACCTTGTCATTCAGTGTAGGTAGCTGGCCTCATTTTTTGGGGCATAATATAATTATCCAGTGGAAGGCTCTAACCTCTTTGCTTAGCTAAATACAGGCTGTGACATTGTTTGGCCAGGCAGTTTATTTTACTTAAAAATTAGATATTTTAATTTATATGCAATTCTTACTGAAAATCTTTGGGGTTGATATACCGTTGCGCTTACATTGTGTAACATAAATAATTGCAACTGCCACCATTTTCTTCTAAAAGGGTTTATGGAATTTGTAGGCCTAAAATGTGCATTTTACCACATGTGCAAAAAAAAAGTGGCAGAAAAAGGGTTAAAGTATAACTAAAGCTACATTTTTTTTTTCTTATTTTGGAATGTTTAGGAGGGTTAAAAACATTGTCATTTTTGCCAGCAGTTGATCTCTCCTCCGATCACTAGACCGGGAAGTGATGCGTATTACATCACTTCCGGTTTCACTCGTTACAGTCCCCGACACTTAGAGGAAGATCTCTGCTTCCTCTGCTTCTTGATGTTTCTTGATGACCCCTGATGTCTCCATAAAGAGGACCTATCATACCCTATCTGCTATTACATTGGGTGCTTGTTAGCTCCTATGTGATGGCAATAGAGTTAGTGTAAAAAAAAAAATAAAGTAACATATAAGAAAAAAAGTCCCCCGCCCCCCCGCATGCATGCACATAAACACACAAACACGTGTCGTGGCGCCTATTTGTGAAAAAACGACAATTGCGCTTTTCATGTTACATATCGCCGTGAACGTCGGAGTGAGAGCAATAATTCTAGGGCCATCAATCGCTGTTAACACTAAATTGATGATCGGTAAAAGTGTTCCCTATGGGAAATTATGGGTATTTACTTTTTTTGCGGCTTCACTGGCGAACGCAATTTTAAGGCTTGACATGTTTGCTATCTTTTTACCCGACGTGATCCTTTAATATTTTACCAAACAATTGGGTATTATATTATGTTTCTGTGCACTAAATTTAGTTTATTTTTTCCTAAAAATACTGGTTTGATAAACATTTGACGCAAAAACCGTGCAACATAAAAAATTGCAACTAGCATTTTTTTTATTCTCCAGGGCCTCTGCTTTCAGAACATATATAAATGTTTGGGGGTCTGAAGCTGTTTTCTAGGCAAAAATTTATATTTTATCATGTTTGTGCAAATAGTAAGAAAATGCCAGGAAAAGCAAGTGGTTAACAATGGCATTTGTTTGAGAGATAAATGCTCGGACAGCAAATGGTTAAAGAACAGGCACATGATTTATGTAAATATTATTGTGCCATATAAAAAAACGTTGTTGGCTATGTAGTGCAATATACCGTACCTGGTTTAGGCATGTTAAACTCAGTCTTTGGTTTTGTTTAAAAGCAGTATAACGAAGTGTGGAAGACGCGTGTTTAGAAGATACTTGTGGAAGTATTTTATTACCTTTTTACCAGCAGTCTGGTGCTTTTTTGTGTCTGTTTAGCTTGTGTAGTTCCTAGAATGGTAGTTACAAAGAGTTACCTTTTTTTCAGGTTAAACTTACAAATCTCTTCTTTTTGATATCGCTCACGATGTGCATAAACTCATACTCAAGATATGATGTTCAAAACAAAAGCATGCAGATTTGCTTGTCCATTCTTAGTACATTTTAATATACTCATAAGTTGCCTGCTTGAAATATTTTGTGGCATCTAACTGCTTTTTTCTCCTTCCTTTTTTGTCACCCTGCAGTGTTCTGTGCCAAGGTCTTTGTGGCTAGGCTGCTCCAACCTGGTAGAGAGCATGTGCGCACTGAGATGCCTGCAGAGCATGCCCAGTGTCAGATGTCTCCAGGTGCCTTTCTTCTTTCTTGTTGTACTGTTATCTGTATGCTCTGTCTTGTGTAACACCTCCATATTTGTTTTGTTTGCCTTGGTGGCCTGAATGCCTGAAAGACCGTTTTGCATGCTCTATTGATTATTATTTTTTTTTTTTTTTTATTGGTTAGTGTATACATTCTTTGTGTTAAAGTGAAGCATGTTTTTCGTTTGGTTCTTTTTCCATGAAATTGATTGTTTACATATCAATATGACCAGTTAGTATCTAATTATGCTTTAAAATATAAACATTTTTTTTCCTTTTGCATCCTTAGAAGATATCACGCATGCACAGTAACTAGACAAATTAAGTTGATTGGTACCTGCTTTTCATTTGAAATTTGGATATGTTTATGCAGTGTAAAATAAGCAGTCATTGGGTTTTTTGAAGTTCATAACTATTGGGTGTTTACTATCATCTGTTGAGCAGATAAGACAAATTGTTAGATTTGTTTGGACAGGAGCATGTTGCCGACTAAACTTTAACAGCATAGGCAGTAGTTCTGAAAGTGATGCCAGGCTTACTGTTTTTGTTATATGGATTTAGTTGTAATGGACAGTTCTAGTCATGCATTTTGGACTTTGGCTAGAAGACCTCTCTTTGACCTTTTTCAATGGTCTAAATGCATTTCCCTGAATAGCCCTTTTGGGATTGCAGGGGTGATATCAGACGGGATTTTTTACACAGAATTTTGGGAGTGGATTGCTCCCCCCTTCCACATCCAAGCAAGCCACATTGATTATAGTTTTGTGTTTGTGCAACTCGGTGGGGGAGACGCAGCGTTTTTCTGAATAATAACATATCACAGCTTCCATGTCATTTACGACTGCTCAATTACTTTTCTTCTATCAGGCTAGATTTTTTTTTTTGCACACTTTAAAATGCGTGTTTTAGGCCTTAAGATTACTGCAACCCAACAAAATATATGGGGGGTGGGAGAGAATTTATCAAAACTGGAGCAGACAGAATCTGGAGAAGCTGTGCATGTCAACCGATCAACTTTTATCTTTAATTTTCAAATCTTAAAGTGACATTAAGGCAGATACCCCCCATGCTGCTTTTAAGGACTTACCGTATGTGATAGAGATGTGCGATTGCTTGTATTTTGCATGTGGCCGCTGCCACCAATTCCGAGCTCCGCTGTGCCTGGTGCAAGCCTGGGACCGGCACAGCGGCTCTGTGACCGGAGATCAGAGAGAGAGAGAGAGAGGGAGAGATGAGTACACAATCTCACTTTGATCTCCTCTCCAGTGTCAGAATGCAGAAAGTGATGTATATTGCTTCACTTCCACATTCAGCCGTCATTCCCGGCTACAGATGCTGGAGAGAAGCTGGTGAAGCCAATATCTGCTCTCACTGTGTATTGGCTATCACATAGGGGGCTTGTTAGTCCTCCATGTGATAGCAAGAAACTTAAGAGTAAAGAATAAAAGTTTAAAAAAAATAGCATAACTAGCATTAAAAAAAAAAGATTTTTTTTTCTTTTTTAAAGTCCCTCGCCCCCACGTACACATGCAAACATGTGTTGGTGCACCTACGTGTGAAAATGACGATTGCGCCGTACATGTTACATATTACCGCGAATGTCGGAGGGAGAACAAATATTTAAGGGCCATTAATCATTGTTAACACTAAAGTAATGAGTGGTAAAATCTTGTTTAAAGTGTCCCCCATGGCCAATTTTGGGTATGGTAACTTTTTGCGACTTCGTGGGTGCACGCAATTATATGGCCTGACATGTTTGGTGTCTATTTACCCAACTTGACCCCCTCTTTTTATGTATTACCAAAAAATTTGGGTAATAGATGCTTCATAACATAACGTAGGGAAAACGTTTTTTTTTTCAAAATTTTTGGTATTTTTTTCCCCATTGTATAGTCAAAAATAACATTATATACCACCAAAAGAAAGCTCCATGTGTCCCCCAAAAGGTATCAAATTCATTTCAGAACACTGTTGCATGACTGATGTTACATGTCAAAGTACTGCAGCGCTGAATACTAAAAAATGGCCTGGACAGGAATGGGGTTTAACACCTCGGTCAGCAAGTAGTTAATGATACTTTAACTGAACAAACTGACGAGAGAAGCCGATTGGTTACTATGGACAACTGCTCCAGCTTTTATGAATTTCCCCATATGTATTTTCTGAAAGCAGAGACCCTGTAGAATAAAATGATGGCCATTGCAATTTTTTGCATCACACAATAATTGTGCTACTGTTTTATCAAATCTATAGTTTCAATAAAAAAAAATACAGGCAAATTATTTTTATTGCACATAAACATAATATACCAATCTTCAGTAAAACAGAAAAGATGAAGTTGTGTCAAGTGACTAGATACCAAATATGTCAAGGTTCAAATTTGTGCACATGCCCATGAAACTACAGTACCCAAAATTGTCCCTAGGCGAAGCTTACAGGTCATTGTATTACAGTTAATAATGGCCCTAGAATAATTGGTATTACCACGCATGCCAGAAACCAAACACCTGGCACAATCGTTTTTGTGCACATTCGCATCAGACGTACAGGTTTGTGGGGCTGGGAGCTTTTAGAATTTTTTTTATTTATTTGATTAAACTTTTTTTTTATTACCATCTGGGTTTATTCTTCCCAGGCTAGATCAGTGAATGGATGTTTGCTGATTTCCTGTCGCTCTCCATCCTGCCACCCTCCATGGTCCCGGGCACACAGGAGGGACAGGTAAGCCTGTAGAAGGGATCTGTAAATCACTTGTACATAGCCGGCAGCCAGGAGTGAAAAAGTAAACACTAATGGCTGCTGCCTGTTTCACAGCTCTGCATTCTGTACAGGCTTTGTACAACATGATGATGTCATTGCTCTTTTTTACAAGTCAACCGTGTTTGTCAAGGCATTTGGTGCACACAAAGTAAACGTTATATCCTTTTTAAGCAGTATATTCAAAATAGTTTTTCTACCCAGGGTTCAGCTTCAAAAGTTAAACTTTCTTTTTTCTCCACTTTGCTTATTACTTTGAAGTGACTAATTTAAAATAAAAAAAGTGCAAATTTGAAGGAAAAAAATAGCATGCTTTGTAATAGAAACTTAATTTTAGTGTCTTCATAAACATTGTAGAATGCATCTAGAGTAACATTAGTAACCAACACTGCTCAAACTAGAAATGTT